AGCGGAGTTTAGTACCTTGCTCAAATATATTCAAATAACGTTTTTAGAAATATTCTGAAATGTCGAAATTTAGCAGCTTTCTATAAACTAAAATGTCGACGTTTAGTAGCTTTCTGAAATTAAGCTGAATTGTCGAAGTTTAGTAGCTTTCAAAATAAGCTGAAATGTCGAAATTTAGCAGCTTTCTATATACTAAAATGTCGGAGTTTAGTAGCTTTCTAAAATAAGCCGAATTGTCGAAATTTAGCAGCTTTCTAAAATATAGTGAAATGCCGAAGTTTAGTAGCTTTCTAAAATAAGCTGAATTGTCAAAATATAGCAGCTTTATAAAATATCCTGAAATGTCGAAGACAGTATAAAATAAGCCAAATTGTGAAAATTTAACAGCTTGTCAATTTTAGAGCGTTGCCAAATATAGTGAAATGAAAAATAAAATAATAAAAAAATAACCAAACATAATGTATACATATACATCCCAATCAAATTACCGTTACATGCATACTCATGTAAAATAAATGTTTATAAATATTTTTGCTACCTGGTCGTCGAATTCCCAGATCCAAATTGTTCCATGTCAGACCACCAGTAATCAGCGGACTTGATGTACAGATCATTGAACATCATTTTGTATATGTAAACATACCTTTCTTGTATAATGAGACTAAATTATTCACTGATTTGAAAACAAGGAATGTCATGGTATATGTAATCAGTAAAGGGCCTTGAACAAGTTTTTAGTAGTGTGTCTTCTCAGGACACCTGGTATCGAACATGCTGCTCCCTTCTGTGACTTGACTAACTTAGCCATATCAGTTGATGTAAACGAATTATAAAACGTTTTTACTAGTTGAAATAGTCAGATATTTTTGGACATGATCTTTTCAAAATTTGTACTCACCATTACTCTAAGTAACCTTTCTAAAGTTCTTTGGAAAAAATACTTCCCGCGGTGTGATATTTGGGTTCTGTTCAGATGAGAGCACTTTCTGTGATTTCTATGAGGTGGATATATTAACACTGACTTAGTTTTTGACGGTGTTTACAACCATTTTGTTCGACGTATATATGGTAGAATCGTCAGCACACATATCTACGTTTGCGTGACATACTTCACAGTTACTAAACATCATTTATGAATATAAAAATTGAACCCTGAGAAACCCAGTAGGCACAAGTTTGTTTTCAAAATCTTTACCTCTGAAATTTACAAATTTAAACCCCAGTCAGATAAGATGTTAACCACTTAACAGCGTGGGTCTCGGAATGGTATGTACTGGAGATGATAGCTAATGGTAGAACAGACCAGGGACTTGACGGTAAGTTAGATACTGACACCCGCGTAATGTCTAGGACAGTACCTATAACACCCCCGTAAAAATTGATCTGTAATTAGAGGATGACAAAACTAGCTTTATCCTTATCAACTGAAATTAGGTGGTGGACGTAATCAAAAGACAAGAAGCTATTGAGACCTAATAAGTCTATTCCTTGGGAGAAGGCTATCCGAAATGAAATATGTTGTCGAATCTATAGTTATGCATCAACAGACGACCAAAGTCGGTATTTAAAGATCGTGATGCACTCAATTGCTCGTCTGACCTCTATAATGGATATGTTGTTGTCGCTGCAGACATAGCATTTGTTTTATAAGTCATATTACTAGTATTATGAACACCTTACTAAAGAACTTGGGTTTACTGGAATTTCCTATTGAAAACATATTTGTCAAAATCGGCATTTCATATATATATTAA